GTCCCAAATTCCCCCCAAAAATTCCAAATTCTCTCACCGGGACTCCCAACTCTTCCTGGATTTGCTGCTGCGGGTGGAAAAAATCCAAATTTGGGTTTTTTGGGGATTTTCACCCAAAATTTGGGGGGTTTGGAGGCTTTTCCCACAAAATTTGTTTTTTTTTTTTTGGGGATTTCCCCAAAATTTGGGGGTTTTTTTGGGTAGTTTCTCCCAAAATTTTGGGGTTTTTTTTTGGGATTTCCCCTAATTTTTTGGGGGGATTTTTCTCCCAAATTTTGGGGTTTTTTTTGGGATTTCCCCCCAAACTTTTGGGGTTTTTCTTCAGGGGGATTTCCCTAAGTTTTCCGGTTTTTGGGGACATTTCTCCCAAAATTTTTTGGGGTATTTTCTCCCAAAATTTTGGGGTTTCTTTTGGGAATTTCTCCCCCAAAATTTTGGCATTTTTCAGGGATTTCCCTCCCCACAAAATTTTGGTGTTTTTTGGGGTATTTTCCCCCAAATTTTGGTGGTTTTTTGTGTATTTTCCCCCCAAAATTTGGTGTTTTTTTGGTATTTTCTCCTATAATTTTGGGGTTTTTTTGGGGTATTTCCCCCAATTTTTTTTGAGTTTTTTTTTGGGGATCGCCCCCAGATTTTGGGGTGATTTTGGGGTGATTTTGGGTGATTTTGGGGTGATTTTGGGTGGTTTTGGGGCTCTGACCTGGGCGGGGCCCCCCGCAGCGCGGTCGAGGTCAGGGCGGGGCTGGGCGGCCACGGGCTGGAGCTGGAGGCGGCTGAAAATCCCAAATTTGAACAAAATTCTCCCTTTTTACCCCAATTCCCGCCTTTCCCACCACAATCCAACATTTTTACCAAAATCCCTGATTTTTATCCAATTTCCCCCCCCAAAATTCACATTTTCCTGCACAAAATCCAGATTTTTACCCCCCAAATGCAGATTTTTTTCACCCCAAAATTCAGATTTTCTGCCATAAATTTGGAATTTTTACCAAAATTCCTGATTTTTATCCGATTTCCCCCCCTCAAAATTCAAATTTTCCTGCAGAAAACTCAGATTTTTACCCCCCAAATGTGGATTTTTTCCCCCCCAAAACTCAGACTTTCTGCCCCAACATTTGGAATTTTTTTTCCCCCAAAATTGGCTTTTTTTCCCCCAAATTCAGATTTTTTCCCTCCCAAAATTCGGATTTTCCCTCCGAAAATCCGGGATTTTCCCAAATCCTGGACTTCCCCCGCAAAATCAGATTTTTTTCTCCCCAAAATTCATTTTTTTTTTCTCCCAGAACTGTCTTTTTTTACCCCCAAATTCCCATTTTTCCCTCCCAAAATTCGGATTTTTCCCAAATCCCGGATTTTTTCCCCTAAAATCAGATTATTTTCTCCCCAAAATTCAGGTTTTATTCCTCAAAAATCAGATTTTTTCTCCCGAAAATTCGTTTTTTTTCCCCCAAAACTGTCTTTTTTTCCCCCAAATTCCCATTTTCCCTCCCAAATTCCGATTTTTCCCAAATCCGGGGTTTTTTCCCCCAGTTTGGGTCTCACCTGCGCGCCGGGGCTCGGGGCTGCCCCCGGCGCTCAGGGAGCGGCGGTAGCGCAGCAGGGGAGCCCCAAAATCCCCCAAATCCGCCCCAAAATCCGCGGCCAGGCCGCGCTCGCGGCAGCGCCGCTGCAGCAGCGCCAGCCTGGGGACGGCCAAAATTCAGGATATTCACCCAAAATTCCAATTATTGACCCAAAATTACCCCAAATTCAGGATATTCACCCAAAATTACCCCAAATTCAGGATATTCACCCCAAAATCCCGATTATTGACCCAAAATCAGCCCCAAATTCAGGATATTCACCCCAAAATTCCGATTATTGACCCAAAATTACCCCAAATTCAGGATATTCACCCAAAATTACCCCAAAGTTCCGATTATTGACCCAAAATCCCCCAAATTCAGGATATTCACCCAAAATCCCCCAAATTCAGGATATTCACCCCAAAATTACCCCAAATTCAGGATATTCACCCCAAAATCCCGATTCTTGACCCAAAATCCCCCAAATTCAGGATATTCACCCAAAATCCCCCAAATTCAGGATATTCACCCCAAAATCCCGATTCTTGACCCAAAATCCCCCAAATTCAGGATATTCACCCAGAAATTACCCCAAATTCAGGATATTCACCCAAAATCCCGATTATTGACCCAAAATTACCCCAAATTCAGGATATTCACCCCAAATCCCCCAAATTCAGGATATTCACCCCAAATCCCCCAAATTCAGGATATTCACCCCAAATCCCCCAAATTCAGGATATTCACCCAAAATCCCCCAAATTCAGGATATTCACCCCAAAATCCCGATTATTGACCCAAAATCCCCCAAATTCANAAATCCCCCAAATTCAGGATATTCACCCAAAATCCCCCAAATTCAGGATATTCACCCCAAAATCCCGATTATTGACCCAAAATCCCCCAAATTCAGGATATTCACCCAGAAATTACCCCAAAATTCCGATTATTGACCCAAAATCCCCCAGATTCAGGATATTCACCCAGAAATTCCGATTATTGACCCAAAATCTCCCAAATTCAGGATATTCACCCAAAATACCGATTCTTGACCCAAAATCCCCCAGATTCAGGATATTCACCCAGAAATTACCCCAAAATTCTGATTATTGACCCAAAATCCCCCAAATTCAGGATATTCACCCAAAATCAGCCCCAAATTCAGGATATTCACCCAAAAATTACCCCAAAATTCCGATTATTGACCCAAAATCCCCCAAATTCAGGATATTCACACAGAAATTACCCCAAAATTCCGATTATTGACCCAAAATCAGCCCCAAATTCAGGATATTCACCCAGAAATTACCCCAAAATTCCGATTATTGACC